GACAATAAATCAAACAATATGTGTCACAATAGACACGTAATGTATATATCCAGCGACAGTCGGAGAGAATATGCAATATTTCGAATATTCACTGAACTGCGCAGCGTTCTCGGGGATGTAGGCAAAGGAAAGACTTTAGCTGCTCGACCTCTCACAGCTAGCTAATTCACACAGGTGGCACCAACTAAATCTCGCTTTTGGTAACCGAGCAACATCATGTTGAGTAACTTGTGCAGCAGCACTTTAAGGTTTTTGTTTCTGTGCATCATAACTGCTTAAAAATAAAAAAAAACCAAGAAGTGATGACTGTGGATAAAACAGGAAAGACCATGCCACCATTTTGGCTGCATTTAAAATATTTAAAACAACAGAAAAACTAATCAGTAATTATCAATAGACTGATATAAAATGCTTATCACCATACTGTTTTCGGCCATGTTGTCCAGCTCTAGTTTAGAATTGACAATATTGTGAATAGGAATCGAGAGACAGGTCAGGAAGAAAGGTTTGAAGAATCTTAAATCTTAGTTAAGGTCATAAAACAGTATCCCAAGAGTTGAACATTTTATACAGATCAATGCCACATCTGAAAATCCAAGGAATACGGCACCAAGACATGGCCGACCAACTGAATAAACAGGCTGTGGAATGAGAGCGTTGATCACAGAAGCAACCAAGAAGTTAATGTTATCTCTACAGACCCAGAGCTCAGATGGAAAAGTCTGATAATAGGACAGATATTACTTATTTAATCCACATATGTGACCCTCATGAAAGACTGAAAAAAATAAAAGCCACAAGAGGTTCTATTTAACATTTGCCACAAGATAAGTAGACACAGCAAACATTGGTAAAAGGTGACATGTGCAGATCAAACTAAAATGTATGTTTTTGGGTAACATGTAAAGTGCAATATGGAAAATTAACGCTGCACAGCAATCTGAGCACACATTCCCCATTGTGCTGTTGTCCTATATGGACGCTTTCCTCCAGCAGAGACAAGAAAACTGGTGTAGATAAGATCAAATTGACAGATTTTAATACAGAAGAAACCAGTTTGGAACTACAAAAAAAAAAAAAAAACTTCAGACGAGGGTGGAGGTTCCTGTTCCAGCGGAACAACTCAGCACACACCAGAACATACCCTGTAGAGGTTCAGACGAAAGCATGTTCATGTGTGAGAATGAACCAGTCAACATTCAGACCAATTCCAATTTAAGAAATATGTGGCAAGACTTAAAATGTTTGTTGTTTCCAGAGACTCTCAATGCATTTTATTTTTCAGTTTAAGCCAATCTGAATGCAACCAGGGGCAAAAATATCAGCATGTAGATGTGCGCAGCTGGTACACACCCCAAAACGCTAGTTATTCAAAGTACTGATTCAGGGGAGCTGAATATAAACAGACACCACGACTTTCAGTTTTCTCTTGAAAAACATTTTTCCTTTTTTTTTTGTCTACTTCATCATTATGTGCAAATTTGTAGTAGAATATCCTAAAATCGCTCTCCGACGTTGCAGTTTGTAATCATAACGTCACAAAATGGGAAGAATTCAAGGCGCATATCTGTACACGGCACTACCAATTTTCTCATACAACCAAAAGGAGTGCCTTTAATGAGAAAAGAAATAATTAAAAATACACAGACACAAAAAAAGACAAAAGCAGCTTACTAACCTGGGCAGGAGGGGGGCATGATGTACTGTTGTTAACCTGTGTGTGGCCCTCTTGCTCTGCTCACAAACAGAGAATGACAAACTTTCCAACAGACCAACGAGGCGAGTCACAAATAATAGCAGTGGATGGATTTCTAACTGCACTCACCGTTCGTTTCATACGCTTCACGAGCCTCTCTCTCCAGACGCTGCCTCAGGAGCTCTTGTTGCTTAGCCAGATACTGCTTGATAAAACTGTTCTGGCTCATTTCCTCGCCAATCTAAATATAGATATGATATTGCAAATGAAAAATGATCAAGCGCAATCCCGCAGGGGCAACCAAATGTACTTTTAGCAGACATATAAAGGAGTGTGCTGAAACTCATCCAGTTATTTATAGATCAGAGATTGGCGCTCAAAAAGACTCCCAGCCTTTGAAATGACAATAAAAGGGCCTCTGAGATTTACCTGAGAGTTAGGCTGCAGTCCGACATGTGGAGTGGAGGTCTTCTGCAAATTCTCCAGCATCAGAGCCTGTTGTGGAGATGTATGATTAATAAAAGGGATCAACATACGGAATATATCTATCAGAAGAAAAAAAAATCTCACTACTTAACATGTAACCAAATTAAAACCCACAATTTTTTATGAATCCTATTACATGATAAAGCTACTTAAATTAGTGGATAATTAAGTAAATTAAGAGATTTTTTTTTTTTTTTTTACAAAGTAAAATCTGAAAACTGGGCCACTTGTGTTGGTAATATGTTCAGACTGATGTGTATTGTTATGCTTGGGTATTTTTCTGACAAGGATATATAAGCCAAACATTTTTGGTCTTGCCCTCATCTGACCCAGTTGTGTCTTAATTGGCTTTTCGGTGTGAAATAATGCCCAGTGACATGTTTAAACCTGAATGACTCTACCAATTAGATAAACAGCCTTTACTCAGGGGCTTCATACACATAACACTTTTCAAATACATATTTTTATATTGTAAAAAATAAAAGAAAAGAAACAATAGCAATATGATTTTTCTTTCACTTTAGAACTATGCTCAGGTTTGTGTTTGAGTGTCACATACAATCCCTCCAAAAGAATCCAGAGCTTTTTGTTGTTGTTTTTTTGCTGTATTTTGACAAAAATGTGAAAACTTTTTCAAAAAGCCATGCAAGCAAAAATGATCATCTTTGGTTTTTTTCCCCCCTGATGTGAAATCTGCTGGTCTTTATTGATAAATGTGAGTGCAGTAAGCAACCAGAAAACCTGTTGATACATTAACGTTTCCTTATCAGAAACAAGTAAGCTGGGTTTAAGTAACGGGACCGACCCAACCCATCAGCTCCTCGGGGTGCGGCCAACCTATGGACAAGTTTTCACAATGACTCTGGGTGTTACTTCAAAAACTTAATCAAAACCATGATTATTTAGCTCCTCCATACTATAATAATGAACCACATTGCACAACGTAAGAAGTAACCTAACTAAATGAAATAGGTATTATTATTAACCCTGGCACATGAACACAAATAAATATATACAAAGTAATATCTGATAAATATCAAAGACAGTAAGTATTTTTTTTAAAAAACCATAAGGTTCTTAGAAAAAAAAACCTGACATAATGTAGCAACAAGTGATATAAAGCCCTGATGTAAACATAATAAAACATATAGTTGTCAATAAGCGCTGATTATATTCAAAATAGGAAAAACAAAAAGTCAGACGTGCCAACCGCCGCTGACATTTGTGTACCACTTAATTATTTACTGCATTTCAGCGGGCACGTTGTACACACTCCGCGGTGCTGGACGGGACGCAGGCAGACGCCGAGTTTCATGGCGGAAAATGTCGAAATGTAAACAAAGTGGCGCAAACATGACTCACGGGGAGGGCAGCCCTGCACCCGAAACGGGTTTATTTTGCAGTGGACACGGGAGCGAGCCAGCAGCTCAGGCCAGCGCTCGTTTCACTGCGTTAGCAAGGGGAAGCTAACAGGCTAACTGCACAACATCACACCAACAAACAGTTTCGCGTTGGCTAATAAGTTGGCTGAACTACGGCGCACACATTGGGTTCGGCAGGGCCGTGCAGACAGAACCGCCGCGAGCAAGTATGCGGAGCGAGCAGACATTTAACAGGCTGGCTCAGCCTCGATAACTCCACTCCGCTCGGCGGTAACGACACTCAGTTGTCGGCCCTCTACGGAGAGCATCAGCCCGTCTCATCGTTGACGCTAACTCGGGATTCACAAGCGGCGCCGCGTTTCGCTGTGAACCTTACCCCCTTAAGCCTTTTGATGAGAGTATTCTTCTGTCCGCTTTTCGACAGCCCCCTCTCCTCCAGAGCCGCTTTGAGGTCCGCTACACGGAGGGATTGGAGCGGTCTCCCGTCCAGCGTAACGTCTTCGAGGTCCGCCATTTTCCGTTCCTCTAGTCAGTTCCCAGCGAGTGCGCCGAGCGCCGCCTTCCTCCACCTTGCGTCACCGCCGCTCACTTCCCGGTGTTGTGACGAATCTCGCTCCCCCGTCAGGATGCGTCTCCACACGGCGTTTTACATCAGCGTTCAAACTCCGTGGTGCGTTAATGTCGAGTCGTACATAACACTGTAAATCTCGAAATTAATTTGATTTAAAAAAACAAATAAGGTAATGTCCTCAAGGTCTCATTAAATGCCTGACTAATATGTCTGACTATTTTCAAACAGTAACAAGCATTAAGTTTTGAGAACAAAAGACATGCAATCCTGCTTTCAGACTACAAACGTCTGTATTAAAGAGGACTTTTTTTGTCGTTGACAAATTAGACAGACACACATCATAATTCTGAAAACTCCTCAAAAGAGAGCGTGGTATTTTTATTATCATGGTAATCCGCCTAACTTATGAAAATATTTAACAAACAAAAAGGAGATCAGTGGCATTGTTCTGACCTCCAGTGCCATGGAAGATGGCTGTTTTTGGTATTTGATGGAAAACAAATGTGATAAAATAATTTGAAATCTCGTTCAAACTAGATGACGAAGTGAACTTGAATGCGGCCATGACGTATAAAGCCTGTTGCCGTAAGCTTGCCACAGAACGCAACATTATGACATTAAGAACGCGCATTTTGACGGCGAAACCCATTTCGGCGCAACACCGCTCATAAATCTTAAAACCACCAAAGGAAAACCAAAGTTTACAGAGCACACAATTCGCGCTGCGCACTTCAAAATTCGTGTGCACGTGCGTTATAAATCTATATCAGTGGTTTTCTTTTTGTAGCTATGGGCAACAATCTGCGTAAATCCTGCGCAATCTTCACTTCCGCGCACAAAGAGGGTTTAAACTGTTTCCGTTTCCGGTGTGTTTTTGCAGCCGCTCGCCTGCTGCTAAGTAGACATAACAGGTCTCCAAACGTGAGCAGAATGACGTAGTTTACTTCAAATTAAGCCGGGGGGGGGTTTGTATAATTAAAACAGCTGGTGTTAAGTGATGCTGGCTTTAAGTTAACGCGCGAGCGGCGGTCTTGCTTTAGCCGCTTGTAAACAAACCCAGGAGGGTTTCTCCGCCGCTGGCGTTTCAAACTCCAGCAAACTTTTGTTTTTTTCTGGTTGAAAACACTTTCTGGGGAATGTCGTGGTTTAGTCAGGTCAGCCAAGGTCCATACCAGCGGCAGGCCGCTGACGGCCAACAATTCACGGCCCCGAACGTCCTCGGCAGTCCCTACAATCCCACAGGTCTGCTAGCAGGAGCAGCGAGCCCTGCTAACCAGAGCGACAGCGGGGCTGGCCTGCCTTCTCCTGGCCGGTTTGAGCTGCCATCTGCTCCTCGTGGTGCGGCCAGCCCTCCCAGCCTGGAGAACCTGTCCTGCGCGGGTCAAGACAGGCAACCAGAGCCCATCTCCTATGTGACCTTCCAGGAGCAGCGGTGCGTCCTGAGCTGGTTCCAAGGCTGGAATGACTTCCAGAAGGAGAGGTTCTTGCAGGATCTTGTTGGGAAAGCCGTGCCGGGGAAAGTGTGCACTCTCCTCGACTCCCTCAGCACCCTTCAGGTACTCCCTGCTCTGTCGCAGGTGAACGTGCACTTCTTGAGATGATGCTTCTATCTACTGCTTTGTGACAGGTCAAGGACAAACTGCCCAACATCTTTGAGTGCCAGCTCCGACTGTGGACCCAGTGGTTTGAGTCCTGGGGGGAAGAGGAAAGGAATCACTTCCTGCACATGCTGGAGGAGAAGGACCCCATGTTCGTTGCCCACTTCTACAGGAGTGTAGCTGGCACCGCAGGAAGAGACTGACCAGAAGTCTGCATTCCTTAGGTTTCCTACAGACTTCTTACATAGAAGGTCCATGCTTTTCTGGTCTCAGATACTCCGGTTTCTCAGTCAGTTTTTGCCCCATATTTAAGAAACAATAGAAAAGCTTTGGATGATTTTACCCTAAAACCTTGCACAGCATTCAGATGTTAAAGATGGAACTTTGAAACACCACCAGGGTGTCCAGGGTCTGTCTGATTATTCAGCAGAAGGCTGGATGAAGAAGCAGAATGACGGACGGACAACTTAACAGCAGTTTTTACAGTATTTGTTTTGGGGGTTTTTCACGCAGACAATTAGGTCCGAAAATAAATATTTCATTAAATATATTTCTAGGACTGGTCCAGACCCGGAATAAGAGGAAATCAAATTCCATATTTTCCTATCGTTTTAATTAGAAATGCACCATCAATGCCGATTTCCAATTTTCCTTGGCGTTGTGGCCTGCTGATTCCGACTTTAGTCCGTAAGGCACGGATCTAAGGAAAGTGGGGGGGGGGAATGTTTTTTTTTTTTTTTATTGAGGTCGAATGAAGGAATTACAAGATAATCCCCATCGAGGCCTCCAAGCCTATGACAACGTATAAAACGTTTATATTTACCTCATGTCAGTTGTTTATAGATCAAACATAGTGAGAGTTCTTTGTTTTCTTTTGGTGATCAGCGTGTCAGATTTTTCTGGTAGCCGACTCGCCGATCACTTGTTGTAAAACTACGTGATTCAGATCTGCGAATGATTGACTGGTGCGTCTCTGCTTTTCTAGACCTTGTAGGAACCCTGTTTTGTTTTTTTGTTGTTTTTTTCCAAACCCATGTAATTGTTTAAACTGTGATGAAATCCTTTGTGATCATTTGACATGAGTGGGTTTTTTCTACAGAGATTTGCAATGTTTCTCCAGGCCAACATGTTTATAATAAAAACATGCTTTGTTTTACGAAGTTGGACGGTTGAGATTCATTAAAACATTTCTTCTATGCAGGTTTCACTTACTTTTTTTAAGTAATGATGTTTATTACACCTGGAAGATGACAGTTAGAGGTCAGTACACACTTTTTTAAGTTTGTTGATTTATTTTCTCAAAATCATTCATGAAGACAATATTTGATTATTAAATCATGTAAATGTTGGACAAATGTGGCAAAACCAGACTTATTGTGTCGCTTCGTTAATCCAGTCAGTTGATCCTGGAGGCAGCAAAACTATTGGCTGAGGATTTTCAACATCCTCCACGCAGTAGTTGAGGAATGGATAGATTCTGTCGGTAAACACTTGACCCAAGAACGAGTACAGATGAGTTCTGGAGCCACAGTCGTAGAAGGACACCTGTCCCTTGTTGTAGTCCAGCAGGATGCCCAGAGTAATGGGCAGCCTCTCAACCTGGAGGGTTACAGGCTTCCTGTCAATCGCTTTGAGCGCACCCATTTTGTTCAGGACTATGGTCCAGAAACCCTTCGCGGGACTGATGGATAGCGATCCTGTCCTCTTGGCCGATTCGCTGACCATCCCGATGTGGTAGCAACGTTTTTCAGCTACGGAAACCTCCCAGAAATGGCGGCCTCTCGAGAAGCCGGTCGAGCCCAGGACGCCCAGGACCACGTCAAACCTGCTGGGGTTGTCGTGGAACAGGGGTACGTTGTCGGTGGTGGAAACCTCAGTGTTGTTGGAAAAGAAAACCAATCTGGGATGTGCAGTATTTGGATCCCAGGTGGTCTTTGCTGGAAAAGGGAAAAATGCAGATTGATCGATCACAATACTGCAATCAGTGCATCTCTAGTTAGTCTTCTAGCAATCCTGACTTGTGTGTGACTCACTGTTATAGATGGTCCTGTCTTCCACGTTGGTTAGTTTAGCCACAGCGTCTGAGAGGAGAGGAACAAAGCATGACTTCCTGGTTCTGATCTGAGCTCGTGTTTAGCTTGTCATTCTGAAGTGGACATACCGTTGTAGTCTTCCTGCAGCCGCTCCTTCTCCCGCTGCTGTTGCTCCAAGTCGCGCTGCAGCTTTCCCAGGGCGGTGTCCTTCTCCTGCAGCAGCTGATGGAGATGATCCGCATCCTCTTGGCTCAGCTGCAGCTGCCTCTGCAAGTCTGTTTTTATCAGAAGCTTACTATAAATAACACAAAATGACACGGTAGATGTGCGCTACTTTTTTTTGACCTCTCACCTTCACAGTGGGTGTTGGCGTTGCAGCACGTTTCCAGCTCCTCCATTTGTTGCTTTAAGTCTGAGTGAGAAAGGAGCTTTCGTGATTATGACACCAAACGACAAGGGACCATTTTCAGATCAGCGCAAAAGAAGCAATTTAAAATTGAATGCTATTTTCCGAAACACGTTCGCACTCATGTGGTTCATTCAGGGAATAGTGACTGATCTCTTCCAGCAGATTACAGGAGCAGCAGTGTTCATTCCATACCTCTATTGGCGCTCTCAAGTTTTCTGCTTTCTTTATCCTGCGTTCTTAATTGTTGTTCCAAGGCTGAAAAGAGAGGGAGAAGAATTGCCTGAATCAAGTGTTGCATGCTCTCTGGGCTTATTTATGACACGCACAGTGACTTGGAAAAGCATTCACACTCTAAACATTTTCACATTTTTTGTTATTTTGCCTTTATTTGGCAGACAAACTACAGTAGCATGGCTGTGAACAAGAAGTAAAAATAGAGTGAAAATGTTGCTGTAATTTTATCCAGTTCTTATCCAGCTGGTCTGTGAAGGTCTTAATAGCAGCGTTTCCATTGCAAATGTTCGCAAAACTTTGTCAATATTCCACTGACGACGAAGAAGGTAATTTTCGCAATTGCGTATCAAGCGAGAAGCGCGATTAAAGTCAGGCGTGAGTACGTTTGTTCAAGTGATGAATCATTAAAACCATGCCGCGACATCACCCTCCTGCCACTTCCTGTCGTCTTCCGCTTCATGGTTCGCGACAGTGGCAACATCCAGTCGTTCATCATGTGACTCGTGTGACGTGTTTCTATTGTAGTTTTACAAACTAAAGCAATTTCTTTAGGACCAAAACCCCTCCACCTCATCCAAGCACCAAAACGTCTTTAATAAAAAAGCAATACTTTTGTAAGGCCTCCTATAGTAAGTATTTGCTATATTATTGTGTTAAAATAATAACAAACCAGCAACTTTCTTCTTTGCATTCGTGGAAGTTTCTTCCTTCGCTTTTTTCAGCTCAGCCTTGAGTTTGGCGATATCCATTACTGACAGAGACAGAAAAAAAAAACGCAGTTATTCCAGTGGCAAATTAAAAACAAAACAACAAACAAAAAAACTAGAACATGAAAGGAGTTTGTACCCAGTTTAAAATTCCTTGCGTCTGCCTCCCTGAGCTGAGCTTCAGTGTTTTGCAGTGTCTTCTGAGCAAAATTGAGTCTCTCTTGAAGTTCTGGGGATTTAGAAATACGTGCATATGAGCCAAAAGTACAATTTACCTTCAAGTAAGCGTATTAGCTATCGCTTTACCTGCGAGGTTTTCAGCGTACGTCTGATTGAGGTCTGATATTTCCTCCTGCAGTGGTACGATTTTCTCATTCAGTTCCATAATCTGAGCAGCTGAAAGAAATAAACAAGGCAGTGACTTAAATGTTTTTTTTTTGTTTTTTTATTTATTATTATCTAGTTCATTCTCATTTTTTGAAAGGACTAAATACTCACAAATATTCGCAATTCTCAAGGTTGACGTCTCCAGCAAATTTGTTTTCTTTTTTATCTCATTTCTGACCGACTCCAATTGATTTTTCAGACCTAGGAAATAAGAACGAAAAAGAAAGCGTGAGGTGTGTCCATGTGATGTTTTTTTATTATTATATATATTTATATTTGTTCATTTATTTTTACTTTTAATTTTTTCAGCTTGCGCTCCCAATTGTCTCTCCATCTCCTTCTTCAGTGTGGCTATTTCGTCCTTTTGAGCCAAAATTTTAAATGCTGACAGAGAAAGATGTGATCAGGTCAGATCAGCCACTGCGCACGCTCAGCAGTGCACCACTCATTTCACTGATACCTACTCAGCTTTGTGTTTTCATTCTCTGTTTCCTGAATTCCTTCTACCAGGTAACTGAGATGATCTTGGAGTCCTGCAGTTACAAGTAGTTTTTTTTTTTTTTAAAGTTTGTATTAAATTATAAACACATCCAGTGCTAGGATAATGCTGCGTGTTTGTTACTCACCTTGGATCTTGGCGTAATCTGATTCGTTTGAGGCCACAGGTACCAATCGATCAATCTCCACTTGTAAGGCAATGATCTGTAAAACTGAAAGAGACGACTCATGTAAACGTCATTCAAAAGAGTCCTTAAATATTTATTTAGTCATTGGCTTATATCTTACGCCTTTGGGACTGCGGGCTTCGCTGTTTCAGCTCTTCTGTCACTTTGTCCAGTTCTGCTCTTTTCTGGTCGATGATTTTTTGAAGCTCTTAAAAAAACAGAAATATTTTTCAGCTAGCTAGCTTGATATTGAACAGTACACAGCACAAGGAAATATAGTACTTGGAAGACAGACAAAAAATATTATTTTTTTTGTGAGAGGCAAAAGCTTTTTATTTTGTTACTTTATAAATGTTTTTTGTCTATTTTTAGCAACAAGAATAAGATATGGGTCCCTGAAGAAACACTTGAAGTGATTTAGCTGAGATTAATAAAACATTTGTGTGCACAGTTCATGCAAACCCACCTTCAGCTTTTGTTTGGGAAACAGAGTTTTCTAGCTGCTTCTTTAGTTCTTCCAGCTGCACAGTCAATGTAGAAACTCGAAGAGCTTAAACAAACACATGCTTTTCATCAATGTCGACATCCTTCCATCTTCCAAATCATAGGAAAGACACGCGCAGCTTTCCAACTTACCAAGAGACGTAACTGTGTCGGATTTGTTCTTGAGTTCCTCAATCTTGGCTTCCAAACTTTTCTGCAGGTCTACCAAAAGAAGAATCAATAATTATAAGTTTTGAATTCACAGCATTTCCTCCAGCAGGGATGAAGAGAAGTAAGAGTCACCTTGAATTTCCTGATCGTTTGTCGAACACTCTGATTGAGTCTGGTTCAAGCTGATCTGCAGAGCTGGTAGAAATAAAAATGTTTTCTAAG